CTCAAGCTCAACTGAGGAAACAGGGCCCCCTAGCCTTTCCACTGTAAAATAAAACAAGTGTTTGTCAATGCTGAACTAAACCTTGCAATATTTAAATTCATTCATTCTGCCAGTGGGGAACTGACTAACATCTACCTGTCCCTGGAGTAATGTTGAGGCGAGCAGCAGGGTCCAGCACTTTCATGTCCCTCAGGAGTGGATGGTCGAGAGGAAAGGAGGAGAACATCTTCTGAACCATTGCTTCATAGAATCTTCTCACAGATCTAGAGCATCATAAGAGGAAAATGGCAGCCTATACTCTCAAAGATTATATCATAATTGTATAACTGCTAGATAATATACTCACTGAAAGATGTTTTTCTCAGCTGACACAGGGAGCTCTGAGCTTTTCATGAATGCCTTTGTGTCTGCTCCAATAAAGAGTTCTTCATCAGGCAACTGATGTCCTTGACTATACTCCACCTCCCTGAGAGGTACACCCACGATAGCCCTGGCTGGTACGAGGTACCCCAGGATCCTCCTGATCAGCCTGCACATCTCCTCTTCAAGTCTGTGAATTTGTACGCCCTCTGACTGCAGAAAATACCATTTATCACAACAAAACAGTATCAATCAATCAATCAAACTTTTATAAAGCACTATAACATCAGCCACTGCTGAAACAAAGTGCTGAACACTTAAAATAAAAACTGAATGCAAAAACACAATAAAATCACACAGTTAAATAAGTAAAATCAGCACCAATACAGTAAAAGTTGAGTGAAATCAAATCTCAGTTGCGTTGAAGGCCAGTGAGAAAAAATAAGTTTTTAAACGAGTCTTAAAAATGGACAGTAACATAAAAATGCTATAATACAATATTATAATATTTAATTAATAATTTAGTATTATTCACTCATTCATGCAGTATCACTGACACACACCTGGAAAGCAATATTAAATTCAGATAAAGGCTTAAGGGCAGCACTCAGGAACATGAAGTAGGTCTTCACAACTGGATCACACAGATGGCTTGCCAGATCACGCACTTTGGCACTCCTCTCTACATCCTCATGACTGTTGAAGTAGGCCTACAGTACAGAGGGACACACACTGGCAATTCAAGGGTAAAATGAAAAAATAGTAAAGTGCATATACAGTWTATCTAATGGGTCTTTACCTGCAGTGCATCCCACTGGTTCAACACTCTTTGTATGCAGTTTAAAAGACTCAGCCATCTGGTGCTGCAGTACCTGCGAAGCTTCAGGTGATCTGAATCAGTGAAATCTACAAACTCTTTGTAGATTTCACATCTTTTGGCACTGAAAGATAGAAAAATTATTGCAAGAATATCAACTGTCTAGAACAGCCTAGAACAATACCAGGCCTACTTAATTTATGTGTATTTACCTTTTATCAAAGTGGGTGTATATCCCCACCAGGATGTCATCCACTGGTACCTGGGCTGCTCTGATGCCACAACCAGTGGCTAGCTGTACCAGGTGGKAGATACAACCAAGGTCCTGGACGTGGGGCTGGCTGGTCTTCAGTCTGCTGATGACAGAGTTGTGTCTGCCTTTCATGACACTTGCATTATCTGAGTTTGAGGCTATCAGGTTCTCCCAGGGAATGCCTCTTTTTCTATTGAAAACAGGGAAAATACAATTAAATGTCTCAGACAAAACCTAAAATTATAATTAAATGCAAACGGATTACACATATCAACAACACTGTGCA